GCGGCGATAGCCCGATTAAGCTGGGCGTCCAGTGGAGCCTCGGCTCTATCATGGGCATTGGGCAAGGACTCTGCGAGCACCCCCGTCTCCTCCATCTTCGACGGCACTCCAGTCAGAAAGCTGTCCCCACCCGAGTTTCCCAGCAGCATGGGCCACATGAAACCGAACAGCGCCGAGCCGCTCGACGCTGAGGACCAGGCGAGAGTAACAGTGAAAAGGTGAAACGCTCGAAACGGCGCGCGCCGCCGGCCGAGGGCGCCGAGCCGGCCCAGGCCGGCTGCGGGTCAAACAGAAGCCGTCTCCGCGGCGGCCGCCCAGTGACAGCGACTCGGACTGACGTCGAGGCACCGCTGCCGCCTCCGCCGACCAACCCGCCGCCCAGCAAGGGCAGTTTGAAGGCGGCTGCGCCGGTGAAGGTGGCGCGGCCTGGCAGGGGCCGCGGCCGGCCCACTCCCAGCTACCCGTCCCGCGAGGTGCTCAGTACCACCGACTCGTCCGATTCTGAGGCAGCGCCGTCGGCGGGCCGCCGCCAGCAGTGACGACGACCGGCTGGTGGCGTTCGCGCGGGACTTGTCCGACTCCTGGTACTCGGACTTGCCGCCCAAACTGGACGCCGGCGGCGTGAGCACCAGCAACGCCAATAAAAAGTCCACCTTCATCCGGCTCTTCTCGCACCGTGTCAAAAGGACTACGCCGCGCGGCCGGCCGGCCAACTCGAATGAGCGCAGCGAAGGGCACACGTCCCCGACGGCGGCACTGGCGCCTCCCGCCGCGCCGCTGCCGGCGTTGCTGGCAACGCCGATCCAGGCCCATCGATTTCTACTGTTTTGTTGCCTACGTGCCGCTGCCGCCGCTCAGGCAGCACAATGGCGTGCCGGTGTTGCGCTGTCGGATCGAAAAGCGGCTCGTGCAGCGGACGGACGGGTGCGGCCCGCGCGATGAGCCGCCGCCGCACACCGAGCTGCGCCGCGCGGACGTGAAGGTGGAGCTGGCAGCGGCCTGCTCAGTCCCCTCAACGGCGTCGACCGGCTCTCCGGCGATTTGCGGTCAGAAACGCCGCCGCTTCTGGGACCAAGGTGTCAGAGCGCGGCGCTGCCCGTGAGACGTTAAGTTAGCACAGGCAATGTCGTCTGCACTCCTTGCAGTTCATGTTGAATACACAACCATGTTGCGAAGTAATAGGCGCCGGGTTTTTCAGTTCATAGAACTTTTTCCCTGGCTATTACACCCCACAACCGAACACTGACACCTTGCACAAGTATGACTGTGTGTATGAATGTTAAAATACATGAACCAATGTTGTGTTTTCGGTTCCAGTACCTTCTTTGGGCACCTCGGCAACAAGTAAGTAATCCGTTAGCTTTGCCACACCTAAGATAGGCTCCCACGTTGTTATTTGCTCCCGGGTTAACATAAACCGGTTTAACGTAACTTTTGCATCCCGGCCAAAATTGCCGGTTAACTGTCCCACCGCTCGAGACTGGCGCTAGGCTGGCCGAGCAAAAAAAAAGTTTGTCCGCGGCTTCGTCTTATTCGCAGCTGCTGGACACGGGGGAGGGGGGAGGAGGGGCTGCATCGGACGAAAAGCGGGCTCTGGTATTAACTGGATTTTTTGCCAGCTGGCGCCGTATGGTGGCGCTAGCAGAGCTTCTTACATATCAATGCTAGATATAAAAGAATGAATATTTACCAATCAATTTTTCATTTAAAGCCATTTGAAATATTTATGTCCATCCTACTACCGCGCTTAGGTATATCTAAAATTAAATACCTTTCGTGCGTCGCCAGCTGGCCAGCCAGCTGACGCAATCCAGCTTTTACCAAAGCCCCGAAAAGCGATGACGTGAGCCCTAATATTGGCTTCACCACACAATTTGAGCCCTCAAACTGGAATCAGGTGAGCTCGAAAATGGGGATCAGGCTGAAAACTGGTATCATAGTGAGACTAGTTTTAGAGCTTGACACCGATAATGGGTACTGACTGAGCTCTGTTTCTGCGATCAATGATACCGATTTAAGGGATCGTATGAGCCCATGTGGCGCTAGCTCAGAAAGTATTCTCGAAATGTGCTGTCTGTTTTGAATATGGTACATTAGCCCGAAAACTGGTCTCTGAGCCCGAAAATCGGGACACTGTTTTCTCAGTGTATCTCTTAACCATTACGGGAATCTGATGACGTCATCAGGCTTTCCAACGTCCGTTAAATGTTTGACTAAAACGTTTTGTAGCACGCGGTGGTATATGCTGCTTTGCGCGCAACAAATGCCGCACTTTCAAATAAAGTCGCTAGGAACAGCGGAGATCCCAAAAAGTAAACAAAAGTAAAAGTCTAATATCTTGAAAACCGGTGAATATTTTTCGATGAAATTTGGTAGATATTCGTTTTTGCTCTTTCTGAACCGAGCGACATCACTTTCATGCCAATTCATTAACTTTTTTGAAGGTGGGAGGGTCCCTTTAACCATTACGGGAATCTGATGACGTCATCAGGCTTTCGAACGTCCGTTAAATGTTTGACTAAAACGTTTTGTAGCACGCGGTGGTATATGCTGCTTCGCGCGCAACAAATGCAGCACTTTCAAATAAAGTCGCTAGGAACAGCGGAGATCCCAAAAAGTAAACAAAAGTAAAAGTCTAATACCTTGAAAAACGGTGAATATTTTTCGATGAAATTTGGTAGATATTCGTTTTTGCTCTTTCTGAACCGAGCGACATCACTTTCATGCCAATTCATTAACTTTTTTGAAGGTGGGAGGGTCCTTAATTCAAATAAGCAGTACTGGAATAATCTGGGTTTCGTCTTATTCCTGAGAGCGAATAATGAACAATGACTTTCATACCCGATGGATCCGTTGCAGCTCTAAGAATATAAAACATTGACGAGCTAATAGCGTGATGGCGATACTATACCTACCTACCTATGACTATCTCGTATATTCAACGTTTGAACTACAAACATACTGTAAAGAAGTGAAGTAAAATAATGCGCATATCTACATGTAGATATCGTCGATATCGATCATATTTTCTTGCCAATTTGAAGGGTTAATTTTACTGCATGGAAAAACAATAGGTAGGTAGGTGAACCTTTGCTATACATTTTAACTGATAAAAATTTATCACATCTTTTGAAAATGAATAAACTTCAGAGCCCCAGTTTGCATAAGTTTCGCCATTCTCAGATCGATGCACCAGAGGTCAGCGGTGGCCATGGAAGTCACAGCCAGGAGCAGAGTTTTACAAGTTTTCTGGAAAGCCAGGCAGTGAAACGGCGTAGTGCTATCAGCTTATATAAGTCGCGAATATGCAAAACATTCACGTGCCTATCCCGCTTCCGCGGCTCCGCCCTCATCAGATGCACGTGTTGAGAGCGACAGTCGCGGCTTAGTGAGAAGTAGGCCTTTCGTCAGACGTGCACGTGATAACAGTGCACCCATGCGGCGGCTCTGAGGTAGGTTAGGTCACCTTAGTCAATACTTTAGCGTCCCGTGGCGCAACGGGGAAATTAAATTTGAGAACTATGGACTGAAAAAGAGGCATACATTTTTTTAACATATGCGCATAAAGGGCTGATAGTTGTGGAAATAAGCGTTAGCAACACCTTTTTACTGTTTACATACTTTCACGAATCATTTTTATGTTTTTATATATTTTGGAGGCGACTTTACCGGTAGGTATTCATCCTTCTTTTTACAATAGAAATTAAACGGGGCATTTGGGAATGATCATGTTTTAATCAGGTTTTAACGATCATGGTAGACCAAAGACTTGAATCATTGTTTTGGACACATCTGATGTTTGCAACTTTGAGTCGTCAGCTTTGGCCTGGCTTGGCGTAAAAGTATAATAACCAATCGAAATTATGTATCCCTGACAAAACTGCTTTCTAGCTATGCACTGATAGTATAGGTACACCTACCTACATAAGTTTGTTTGTACCCTCAATAAAAGGAGAAAACTTAATTGCATTTTGTTGTACCTACCTTCAGTTGGGTTTATGCAACACATAGGTATTATGCAATTAAAAGGGTTAAGTCAAAAGATCGGAATCAAACAGGTCTATAATGTGCATACCTAACTCCAATCTCTAGTCATGAACTCGGTTCATTTTGTTTCCCAGCCTAAAAAGTAAAATAGGTATCTTGCGAGTTGCGACCCTAAAATTTGTTGGACGTTGCTTTTGTTCATTTGACAAATTAAAATTTGACTGAAGTGAAAAATTTGATTGTTGATAAAATTGGATTACTCTCGCCAAAAGTCAGTATAGGCATAGGGATCTTATGCGTCTAGTCTAGCGCGCTATTTGAATGCCTACGTTACGACACGAGTGGTATGGTGGCGCTCGACAGCTACTGTTTAGACCCCATGGCGGGTGCAAACGGTCTCAGAGAGATGTGGAGTACATAGAGTGCAGTGAGACCCAAACGACCTCTATCCCAACTGCACAGGCCGTGACCCGTCCATCAACGGTCCGTGATCACGTCCGTGATCTGGACAGTGACCCGTCCGTGACCCTGCCCGTGATCCAGACGTGATCCTGTCCGTGACCCATCCGTAAGTCATCCGTGATCCGTAATGACTGGTCCTTGAACCCGTCCGTGATCCGTCCGTAATTTCACGTGACCCGTCCGTGATCCCGTCCGTGATACGGTGATTCCGTCCGTTACCCGTTCGTTACCCATCCGTAAACCGTCCGTGACCCATCCGTGACCCGACTTTTGTTCTAACATACTTTGTCGCATATGCGCTTTTGCGTACGAACTTTTGTACTCTACTTTTTTACTACGTACTTTTGTCCCAACTATGACCTACGTTTGTGATTCGTACTTTTATTTTGTCTGCGAATCGTCTTCATATCGCTTTTAAATGCATTTGCGTCCTCTTCATTACATGAAGAAGAGGGGGAGAAGCTAGACTAACAAGAGCTGCCACTAGATGTCGCATGGCATCAGAATACCGCCCACTTATTAGTTTCCAAAAATGACGCAGTAGAGACAATTTCTCTCCGGAAAGATAATAAACAATCTCATTAGTGGGCTAGCACGGTTTCGTGAGAATTTGATATCTCGTGGTTCCAGGTTGGGAGCGGTTACGGTGATTCTAATATATACTGCCTTGCTTCAAACCAACTTCTTATTATCGAAGGTGGTCCGTGGGTATTTTTGCCAGATTCTGCATCAGTAGAAAGCTGAAAAGCTTCACATAACGTTTCCACAAGGAATTTTGATCAAGCCATCTAAATTTTGAGTTTAATTTGCTTTCTGCTCTGTCGGTAAATCAATATCGACATCAACGATGGACAACCAAGGTAAGCTCAGTAAAATGGGTGAATAAGGGACAATGCCTTTTTCTTTTTTTGCTCATTTCAATTTGGGGCTATCAGACGTTGATATATTTCTATGTTAAATAAAATGAGTGACTCAACCAAGGTAGGTAGCATTCCAGTCATAATTTTACCTTTGTCGCTTTTCAATCTGATTGATGTTATAGTTGCATTGCAGGATTTTCAGTATGAATCAGTCATGAGATTCATCAGCATACACTGAAGCTGTTTGTATAGTCATAAAGGTTAAAGTTTCCTTGTGCTGCTTGTTATTGGGTCGCAACTTCAAATTGTGAGCAGTTTATGCCCTATAACCTCAGCCTTCAAGCTTTCAAGTAGGTACTCAAAGTAGTAATAAGCTAGATACATCCTTCACACCTGTTCTACCTTACCCAGTGCAAACTGGACGCTTCCATGTTTCACAGGCGAGGTGCACAAGCTGCAGCTGCACCTATCCTTGCTGCGGGAGGAGTACGTCAGGCTGCAGCGCGACCTGGCAGATGTCAGCCGCAAGTATGCCATCCTGTCTGCGGAGAGTGGCGCTCAGGGCGGTGAGCCCGGCGGCTACGTGGCCTCTCTGGTGGCCACAGTGGCTGACCTGTTCCGCTCCAAACAGTTCAGGTGAGGAAAGGTGGGGGCTGGTGTGTGGGTAAGAGGGAGTGGTGACTGGAGAAAAAGGTGCATAGGGTAAGGGAGACAAAACAATATGGTGATGAGTATCAGAGGAGGGTTGATATTTTGGGAGTTGCAGTCTTATTTTCCGGGTGTTCTGTGGCTAAATATGGATATCAGATTGTTTTGTGGACATTGTCTTTACATTTACACCATTTAAGACTAACATCATCATGCTCTTGTGTGAAAATTCTATTTCTCTCCAAGTTTGCTCATTCTCTTCCAAGTTTTGAGGATCCAGATATTATGCCTTTTTTGTTCCAAAAGATTTAATCCTTTGACATTATTTCAAATCTCAACCGGCGTGGTAGTGTGCCTCGTACATACGACGTACGTACAGCCCACTGCTAAAGTTTGCCGGTCCCGTAGCTCAGTTGGTTAGAGCGTTGGACTCCGCGTGGTGAGAGCACGCGTTCCCGGTTATGACAGTCCGGGTTCGAAGCGCGACGGGCGCTCGACATTTATGGGCCTCCTGACAGGTATGGTTGCGGTTGGTGGCAGGCCGTAGCCAGGCGAAGTCAGCGAGGGGACCGGCCGTGCGCGGCTTTGTGCGCACGTTAAACTTTGGACTCTAAATTCTGCCATAGAATCGGAATTGCGCGATCGGAGGGTAGAGGGCAGGGTCATCGCAACAAGCTTCGCTTAGCGGTGGCTCTGTCCTTGTGAATCCTTCCCATCAAAAGGTTCGGACTAAATTTATAAAAAAAAAATGTGTGGTTTTACCAATCTCAACGGATGGCTTTGGCTGGCGATTTTTTAATGCGGAGTGATCGAAAAGAAGACGTCAATAGATAAAGTTGCAGCTGCAAGGGTAACGATACAGGCTAGCTACATTCAAAGTTTCATTGTGGTCTGGCTAATTATTCCTAAGCTTCAGAAGCAGAACATACCCAGGACTGAAACCGCACATTGATTCTAGTTTCTAACCCCATTGGCCATCCCCTCTATTCTCAGTGACCCCTCCCCTCTGCTCCCAGTGACCGTTCCCGGCTCCCCACTGCCCGCAGTGACCTGTCAGTGACCCATCCCCTCTGCCCGCAGTGACCCGTCAGTTACCCCTTTCCTCTGCCCGCAGTGACCCGTCAGTTACCTTACCCCTCTGCCCACAGTGACCCGTCAGTGACCCCTCCCCTCTGCCTCCAGTGACCCTCCTCTATCCCTAGTGACCCCTCCCCTCTGCCCACAGTGACCTGTCAGTGAAGGTCGGTGACCAGGTGTTCCAGGGACACAAGTTCGTATTCGTCGCCCGTGGCAGCCACTGGGGCGTCAAGTCCGTGGCCGACGTCGTTCAGCTCGGTATGTAGGGGTGGGTTTGGTCATTGGTGCCTAGCTACAGTGTGTCACGTGTGTGTGTGTGGCGGTTGGGGGGGGGGAGAGGGGGGAGAGAGGAGGGATCGTCAAGTCGGTGACGGACGTCCAGCTCGGTACGTGGGCTTTCTGTTTGTGACCGCTAAAATATTTCCGTTTTTCCTCCATTTGATAAGTCTGTCATTTTGATTCCTTTAAAGATCATTTCACACCACAAAATCCTCAACACCATAGTTATTAGTTATACTGTGCTTTGGCAACACATCAGGATTTAACCTGTACGGGTGCAGCAAATATAATCGAGTAACATTTTTTTTTGCCGTCTGCGACACCGCATGTACCGTTGGAGTTACGAAGCCTTTTCTTTTTACAGCCTGATATTGAATGCTTGACACCACTACATTTTACCGGGAGCACCTGATTTGGTGATGCGTGCTGGCATCTAGGCCGGCTCACCAGCAATGGGCCAAACAGGAAAAATTAGACGTGACGCTCGAAAACCAGAACTTCGCTCGTTTGACGTGCCTGAATCATTGGCTGTCGTGTCGCTGTACTGTGTAGTGCGTACGTCCTGGCCTTGGCCGAATCGACCCAAAAGGCGATAATCTTTGTGGAAACGTATATGTTTGAAGAATCCAAATGCTGTTTAAAATAGGACACTCTGACACTATGTGGATGGACCTTATTGACTAGGCACCGAGCAAAAAAACACCGCTACTACCACTACGCTGCTGACACCTATGTCTGCAGGCCTCTACAAGCCTACAAGACCTCCATGAATTCCCCCTATCCACAGAGTCGTCTGAGATCACTGACCTGTCCCACTACCCACATACTGGTCGGACACCCCTGACCTCCCCTCACTACCCCCAGATTGGTCGGACACCCCTGTCCCCTGACCTCCCCCTTATAACCCCCAGACTGGTCGGACACCTCTGACCTCCCCTGTTACCCCCCAGACTGGTCGGACACCCCTGACCTCCCCCTTATAACCCCCAGACTGGTCGGACATCAGTTACGAGATCGGAACCTGACCTCCTCTTCTACCCACAGACTGATCTGACCCTGCTCCCCGTCCCCACTACCCACGCACTGGTCAGACAACCCTGACCTCCCCTGTTACCGGTACCCCCCAGACTGGTCGGACACCCCTGACCTCCCCTGTTACCCCCACTCCCCAGACTGGTCGGACATCAGTTACGAGGTGGGGATGGAGGTGCTGCAGTGGATCTACACGGACCAGGCGGCGCTGGCGCAGGGAGACGACTTTGTGCTGGATGTGATGCGCACCGCCGACCGGTTCAAACTGGATCAACTGAAAACCAAGTACGTTCTGAGCGAGCGCCGGCGACTGGCGATGGGTTGTCGTATGGATAAGTTATTATATATTTTGTATGTTTGACTGGCGGAGATGGTAATGATTTACTTTGAGTACACATATTTTATTTCTGATCTCACTTTTCTACATCGGCTATAGCATGTTTTACGCCCTGGTTACCTTTCTTGGAATACGATGTCTAAAATACTAAATGCAAGCTGATTAGAACTCTCAACTTACTTTACCCTTCTGCCATCGGAACCATCGCCTCACTAAAGCTTCGTTCCTCTGCCGCCAGGTGCGAGAACGCTCTCATGTCTTCGGTGAGCGTGAAGAACTGCATCAAATTCTACACCACGGCGGACGACATCGGCGCCGGCACGCTGAAGGACTACTGCTCGCGGCTCATCTCCACACACTGGGTCAGTGAGACATCCAGTATCCACACATTGGGTCAGTGACGGTCTGAGGGCAGTACATACATTAGAGAGCCCGGTACTGCTCGCGGCTCATCTCCACACATTGGGTCAGTGAGGGTCTCAGGGCTGTGCTATCAGCGGGGCTGGGTAGGGGTGCGGGACTTTGAGGAGGGAAACTAGTCTCATAAACTTAATGTAACATCTAATGTAACACATATTATGCCTACATTTCGTGTCACTGCACATGGACTACGTTGGCCACTAGTTACGTGTCCAGCTGGTGTCCAGGGAAAAGGTCGAGGTCGAGGCCTTGTCCGGTGTCCGCTGCTCGGCGTCAGCAGCGGTCGGCCGATCATTACTTTTCTGCATCGGCTATAGCATGTTTTTACGCCCTGGTTACCTTTCTTGGAAAACGATGTCTAAAATATTAGATGCACCGGATCATCAGCCATCTAAAATATTAGATGCACCGGATCATCAGCCATCTAATCGATATTATTATAAGTAAGGGGTTCCAAATGATTTCCGTTCGTCTACTTCTCTCTTCCTCACCACTTCTCCGTTTCCCGGTATTATAGTCTGCCAACTGCCAAGCGCCAACTGCCTATCTCCGTCTCCCTCTCCATCCCACCGGGGTGCCTCTGTCAGTTGTCACCCCCTCCGATGCCTTTTGTCACTCCCGCAGACGTCACTGTTCCCGGTAATTTCACCGGCTTTGGCAGCCAGACATTGGAGTCTGAACGCCACACGGCATACGGATAGAATTGATAGTGCCAAGAACCGGCGCCGCGTTCTGTTGATTTGAAAATAAGAGATTTTCCATCGAGTTTATAATTACCCTCTTAGATTGAGAACGTTCATCGTTACGGAGCTACGATTCACTGAACGGGTCCCAATTTCAGTTTCACTGAGCGGAGGAGGAGCAGCTTCTGTGTTTTGTTATAGCAAACGCCTGTTAGTTCGCCCGTTGTCAAAATACCCAGCCAGGCCCGCTGATTTCTCCGGGTCGTCAATGAGCCGCCCAGCCGCACCCCGTTCATTCACACCTGTTTGGATGGTGTCCAGAGCGGTTCTAGCGGCGGACAATGGAATTCTCATCATCTGTCGGCATTAGTCGGACCGAATGATCCCTGTCGCAGCCACCTGTGCCGCTACATCACAGTAATCCGGCTGCATAACTGACAGACCTCGTCAGACTCACTCAGCTACGGCGTAACGTCAGTTTGACGGCGGCAGTTTGACTCAGTTATGTACGAACTACAATCACTCGGCTGTTGTTTCCCGCTACAAGATTTCAGCCATAGCCCAGTGCCAATTCGCATAGCCTAGCAAATCACATGCCAATCTTTCTTTGTTTGGGACTGGGCGGAGATGGGTGGGTCGGTTTGGGGTGTGTGATGAGGGGATGGGTTTGCGGTTGGTGACAGGGAGGGAGGGAGAGCGGGTGAGGGTGTGTTACATCACAGAGAGCGGTGCTAATTTTACTCCCATCGTGTCACCGCGCCTCCGGGGCTCAGAGGTGAATCAGAGACTCTTGGCGGCAGTGATGTCCCCTCCTGCCCCGCCGGGCGGTCCGAACTGACTCTGTCGGTATGTTTGGGGGAGTGAGAGCTATATCAGACGCTCGGGAGTTATGGGGTGTGCCTGACGTGGCGACGGCCGCGAGGGGTGGGATGGGGTGGGCAGTGGGCAGTGATTGACTCCGGCGGCTCAGAGGCTTGGAGGTCCCGAGAGGTGAACTTTCCGTAGATCGAATATTAAAAATTATCTAATTTTGGCGTGCATAATTAAAGAAAAATACATAAGCAGAACAGCCACACAGCACACAGCGCAGGAAAGAGACTTTGAAGCAACACTTCGCGGCAGACTGTCCGCCTTTCCTAGCATCACCAAGAAACTGTTTTCTTCCAGCTGCTATGCCACTGTGCGTACTGCCATGCAGGGTTGTGCTTGACTCATGAGTCGAGTCAGAAATTAGACTCAACTCTGACTCAAATGAGAGTCAGTTTTGAGTCGAGTCGGATAAAATGTTGAGCTGTTGAGTTGAGTCAGAGTTGAGTCGGACAAAAATATTAAGGCGTTGAGTTGAGTCAGAGTTGTGTCAGTAAAATAACTTTTGACATTGAGCTTAGTCAAACGTTTAGGAACATGAGTCAGCTGACTCAACTTTCTAGAAGCAATATATTTTCACCCCCCCCCCCCCTGCTTAACAACTTAGCCCTGGCCCTGCTGCCGGATTTTTTTCACCCCCCCCCCCGCTCAACAACTTTTTTATCTGAGTCAATTTTGAGTCAACTCACTTGACTCAACAAAAATTTGAGTCAAGTTTGAGTCGACTAATATTTTCATTGAGCCGCTTGAGTCATGAGTCGAGTCAAGGGAAAAAAATCAGCTCCTTGTTTGAGTCAGAGTTGAGTCAGGGCTTTCTGAAGTTGAATGATGAGTCGAGTCGGCAATTTTTTTTTTTTTAGTCGAGCACAGCCCTGCTGCCATGGTTGCACAGTGCACACACAGCCACTATCGGTACGACTCTTTATAGTGATGAGTAGTGACTTCACCAAGTAACCGCTGATGGCACGCCACGTTACTCACTCCCTTTCACTCTTTAGAACACCTAAAGGCTGAGCTACACTATGCGTGACCGTCCAGGAAATTACGTGCGTGATCTGCAGATCCGTGATTGCAAGACTCCCTTGACATCGGTTTCTGCGATTTTCCAGAATTTCCGTGAATTATTGTATGCTGACGTAATAATAAAAACTAATAAATGGTTCCGCAACAAAACGCTTAAGTTTGCTATCTTCTATACTATTTTATTGATAATTAGTTTATTTTGTTAATAAAGCATCAAAAACACATGAAAATTAAAGAAACAAATTATTAGTTACGTCACTTGGATTCATACGGTGCGCCACCAAGTGCGCCAACAACTGTCTCATATCACGCAATCTCGCAGATTCTGCAAAAAAAAAAAAAAACTTCGTAGCTCTGAACTTTATATCGGTACGGAACATCCTGACCGTCCTGACTATCCGGCATTTCCTGTATTGAACAGGGGTAGACAATTGTGCCGAGTTGGGGTAGCACGAGCCTTCCAAATTCCAATTCCACGCCGGCTGCGCCGGCTTGGCTTTGGAGCCGCACCAGACGGCGGAGGTCAAGGTCACCGCTAGGGCGGCGGCGGATTTGCTGCGCCCGTGCAACACCAACTCGGCATATTTCTCCACCCCTGGTACTGAACGTCCGGGATTTCCTTGACTGAATCTGCGTGACCCCAGTGTAGCCGACCCTGTGTATTTCCTATCAGCTGAACTTGACCTGCGTACCGATTTTCTGCAAAACCCGCAAACTCGCAGATCACGGACGTAGGATCCCGCATAGTGTAGCTAGACCTTAACCCTTCTGTCGGTCCGCAGAACGACTTCACCAGCGAGGACTTTGCGCACATGAAGGCGCCGCTGGTGTACGAGATGTTCAAGTCGAAGACCCGCTACCCGCTGCACGCTGCCATCCGACTGCTGAGGGAGGACGTCGTCTTCCTGTTCCTGATCGAGTTCAACGCACAGGTGGGTCCCCGGACCGACGAACGGCTCGGGGGGGGGGGGTAGGGGGGCGGGTGAGGTAATTGCTCAAAATCGGAGGGAAGGAGTGGAGACTGTGCTGTTGGACGGGCTCCTTCGCTGCAGTGGCACGAGAGTCGCACCACTGAATTGGGTTACCTTTCGCTGAAGACAGCGCCCTGTCGATAGAATCACGCCAGTTCCTGTGTCAGAGCAAAGCACTGGTACATTGTTTGCTGAGTGCTGACCCACATTGAGCAAAGTTTAAGTGCAGACGGTTTGTTTTCGCCGCACGGCAACTGCGCTGGGTTTTACGACCTCAGTGAAGACTGGCTACACCATTCCCCACATGTTGCGCCCGCCTGGCCCGGCGCGCTGCTGTTATTCTGCGGCTCAAATATCACATTCATTCCCTTGCTGTCGGCACAGCGGCCGCTTTTGTTGGCCCGAGTAGAATGGGAACCCCTCCCCGCGACATGCCCTCTTGCAGCGCGTGCAGCGTCCGTGATAACAGCCGTGGCGTCTTTAATAACCCTCCGATCAATCGGCGCAAGTCGACCGCGCCGTATGGCCGTCTGGGGCGCGTGTATTTTGGGATAATGCGCGCTTCGGCGTGCCTTATTTTCGTTTGTCTGCGTCTGCGTTTTACGACCTGTGCCGGGCCGCTCCAGTTGGGTGGGTGGTGTTTTGGCTGCGGCACAGATGAGGTATGGGTGTGTAAAGAGCCAGGCAGGCAGCCCAGTCTCTGACGATGGGGTAACGACTCAAAAACAAAAGCCGAGATGAAAATAGAGGTGTGTTGTTCGTGACCGGTATTAGGCTTAAGGGGTATAATTATGTGCCCATCTAGCCCAGAAAGAGCAGAATGATGCTGATGAATCGTTTATTCATTGATTTTTTTTTAAAGAAATGGTAAATTTGTGGTTGATTCGGTAGTATTGGGCATTTCCGGATTTAATTGCTGGATGCGCGTGAAGGTCAAAAGAAATCCAGCTTAGGATTTCTTTTGAGTTGCGATCTGTTGCGAGCTGCGTGTAAGTCGTGGAGTCAGTGGGTTCTGTGGATTTCATTGTAGACAAAACACAATCATTTAATAATTTCTGGAATTGATACCAGTGTTTATTTTCATTCAGTGTCATCACAGGTGCATATGTATATTATGTTAACCATGAACCGCACGTGCTCTCACATATTGTCATTTAACACCAGTCATACCCCATATCTCTCCGATCGTCGTTATGGACACGCTTCACAGCTGATAACCAGCACTGTTGCGCCACCGGCCCACGGTCGGGACCGCTGGCGTTGTCCGCGTGCAGGGCGGGGCCGCTCCAGTGAACCCCCCCCCCCCCCCAGACACCCCAACATGCCTAGTTTCGAATGCTGCCGTTCAGTCGCCCCCACAGGTCACGCGAAGGCTCGCTCGTGGCGCATGCCTTCACGGCTGACAAGTCGTTTCGATTATGCCCATTTAGCTCCTGACCGAATTGATTAAGCCTGATGCGGTTCGGATGTGTTTTTGTGGCGAGCTCGGGAGTCAAAACGGAAAATAGCACGAACGGATAACACAACATTGACAGATTGCTGGTGGGATGCGTTCGGCACCCGGGGAGGGTGTAAACTAGTGATGTCAATTGCGGAAAATCGTGATACCGATACCAAACCAAATACCAAAAATAGCCATGAGAAAATACCGAAACCGAACCGACTTGAGAATATGAGGGAAATACCAACTTTTTACCAAATTTACAGCCTCTTTTACATTAGCGAGGATTCATAATACCAACAAAATACCGAATGTATTAGGCCTGAAATACCAAATACCAAGTTGGTATCGGTTTGGTATCGGTATACCAAAAAGTTGGTATCCGATTGACATCTCTAGTGTAAACATTCGGCATGCTCTACGCTAAGGTCATTGTCAACAAATGGTCACGGTCTTATGGCCGGTGCTGAACGCGCGAAAACAATACAACTCAACTAAACGCGAGCGGCCCGCTGACAGACCAGCTGAGATCCGGGCTATATCACATCGACGCGCGAAAGGTTGGTGCGCCTGATCCGACCAACACACCACAAACAGCCTCTGAAGCATCCCACGAGACCCACGCGACCGGCACTCGTCCAGTGTCGTCACTCAAGACCGCACGGTACGCGCTACAACGCGCGTCTCTGTTTCGTCGGGCGGTCGCGTGGCGGCGCTGGCGTCAGCCCGACAGGTGTCGCTGCGGTCGGTCACCGTGCGGCGAGCAGCAGCAGCGCTGAGACGGCGGCGGCCGCGGCGCTCCACCGAACCGCGTCTGCGCCGCCGGTCAGCTCGTACCTCAGCCTGCCGTTACAGCGGTCGTCGCTGCAGAAGCAGTGCTCGGTCCGGGTGACCTTGATGCCGTCCGTGTGCTCCACCAGTTGGCAGCCCTCAGCGTGCGCGTCCTCGAAGATGTCGGTCACCTCGTGCCAGCCCTTGCTGGGCGTGAAGCGGCGGTAGGTGACGCTCTGGTGTGCGCAGTCGCGCGTGGTCGTCGTTATAGTCTCTGCGGAGAGGAGAAACACAGTCAGCTGAGTGGACAGATGTCTGGTCCATTTCGCTCCCTTTTAATGGTCGGATAATGTTCACACTAATGGGCGGTGGGGTGTCAATGGCATTCCGCGGGGTTAAGGTCAGATGGAATTTCAATGACCGCTCGGTGCGTGCGGCGGGGCTTAATGAGCCGGCGCGGCACGATCTGACGGTGGGACGCACGAGCGGGCCATTGTATTCGGCCCGGGCGCGCTCAGACACCGAGTTATCGGCTCAGTGTCGTGCCGGGCTGGGAGCACACCCTCCGTACTCATGTTCGCCAATTTGGCACAATGCGCGGCTCAATCCCCATCGATAGCACCGACCTTGTGCGTGCCTAATGCAAACCGACAACGGCATTGTCTCTCGTAAACCTACTATCCGATCAGCCGGTTGATGCCCGATAATTCTATAGGCCCGCCTGTCTTTGACCGAGCCACACCCTGCAGTGTCGCTGGCTACCGTCCGTTGTCAGTGCTCCGTGCCCGCTCGACGGCCGGTGCACCCGGAGAATAACCCGTGAGTCAGGCAGGCAAGCCGTGGCGAATCGAGAACCTGGCACGCGCCACTGGGAGAGGAGGGGCAGGGAGGGGACGCGCACACAGAGGGTGGAGGGCGGGAGTCGCGTGATTGGGTGGGTTCAGTGGGTGGATGTATCTCTCTTGGTTACTTCTGTAATGGTTGAGTGTGATAGCGCGATAGCTCCAGAGTTTTACAGTTATGAGCTAATCCCTTATTTATTTCTCAGTGTCTTTCACCTACTAAGGAACCCGTCATACACAATCTTCCAGACATCCCCTGCGGTTCATGGCTTTTCCATAGGATTACTAACCACAGTTTGCCCTTCAATTCCTCCTCTGCAGTTACTGTCACCCCTTTTGGACCCTCTGCACTCTGCAGTGCTGTCTGGGAACCTCTCTTACTCCCTCCAAGTCCAAACACTCCCACACGCCGTCCCGCCGCCGTCCCGTCACCCTCCCACCGCCGTTCCGCCGGCGCTTCACACACCCAGGTGGGACGTGTCCGACCTAGGGGGCTGTCGATGGCGACGATAGGCGACGGGAGGGACCGACGGACACGACACAGCCGGTGTGGCGGCGGCGGAGCGACCCCGGCGGCAGTGATGGGGCTCGTACGGAGAGGAAACGCCGCCTCACTGTCTTTGGGAAACATCAACAGCGTGCTGGAGGAGGGACGGGTGAGGGGAGAGGGTCGTCTGTCTGGCCGCTGTAGGTCAGGCGGTCGGAGGTGTCTCTCAGTCGCCGGGTCTGTTTGTTTACAGGTAACTTTGGGAGGCTGATTGATGACCTCTCGTGAGGCGGCGATTGGTTGGCTCTCGGCGGATCGGTAGAGATTGGGTGGGAGTCAGTGCCGATAGGCTCACGGTAGAAGGATTAGCGGTTGGTTGGTTCGGAGGAATAGTGGGTGTCGCCTGGCTGCGGCTGTTGTTACACGGGTTCGTCGTGAGGGGGGATTGTGGTGTCCGTGACTCGGCTAGACGGAGAGCAGGGTGGTACCGTCAGGGACTCTGTCCCTGACGGCAAACGTGCCGCCGCAAAAGTTACGGTCACTCTGGGAGAGACTTCCGAGTCGGACTGATTATATCAAAATCGCCTTATGAATTGACAAAGAACTGGCTTAACACCTAGCTAGAAATCTATCAACACCGGCTTGCTAACAGTACACCTAGCGTCCCTTCGCCGCCGAAATGTCACGATAATATCGGTGCCTAGTTCTGCGTCCCCCACCCCCAACTATCGGCTTCAGAGCCAGTTGGTTCCAATCGCTCTCTGTCCCAACCAGACGCGGCCCGTCCCGTCTACCCATCTCGTCTGCTAGCGGAGCGGGCGCCGCCGAAATTCATCGCTCGTCGCCCGGAACGGTCGGCCGGTGTCGGGTGCGGCGCGCCATGTCGCCGACGCGCCAGAATTGAAACAAAGCGGCGATAAAGGCGGCCGTAACGAGCGGGCCGCATCGCGCGCGTGCCGCCCGTCGTCGGTTTGAGCGAGCGCGGGTCGGCACCGCCCCGGCCGTCACGTCGGAATCGATGGCTCGCCGAGGTCTGACATTTAACGGGGAAGTTATTCAGCTTTTTACCGGGAACCAGTGACAGACGGCGTGCTCATTTATCGACAGACCGAGTCGGCGATGGCTTAAACTAAACACCTAGTGTGCTAACGCAGACCGCTCCCTCTCCGCTAAAATAGACACATCAGCACCAAGAGAAGAATGGTAACAATGGCGTCACTGATGGTCACGTGTCAGGTACGATGACGTCACGTGTGACACAGGTCGCGGCGGCCGTCGGTCGCTTACCTCCGTTTGGCAGGTCGAGGATGAATGTCTTCATCTCGCACATGGTCGACTTGGGGCAGGTGACCACGTATTTACTGTGTCCGTCGAACGAGGCACACGGAAAGATGGGGTCGGTGCGGTTACGTCGCGCCGAGATGCTCTTGTAGGTGCACCGGTAGCACTGAATGCCGGCTCCTGAAACAGATGGAGAAACGGGTTAGGTGCCGTAAAAAAACACACAGCGTTCATGCAAAACGAGATACACGGCACGCCGATAAGACGGAAGGATACTTGTGAGTATTCAGTTGAGCATCCATCAGTCATCCGACGGCCAGTCACCTGTCATACGCCGTTATCCACCCGCCATCCGTCCCGTCATCCACCCGTCATCCGTCCCGGCACCGTTTCAGTCATCGTCACCCATGACCAGACCGTCATCACTCGGCGTCATGGGCGGATGACGATGCTCAGAGCGGATGACGTCCCGGCTTTCATTGGGGGCGCCCGGGCGGAGAGGACCGCTATGGAGAGCTGTCCGGCACGTGTGGGGCTAACTGGATCAGTTAGATCCGCTTGACACCGATACTGCTATCGATTAGAGTATAGAGATCGAAATTTGCAGTGGTGCCAATGGGAATGATGCGCCTTCAACGGATTTGTTACCGGTGCGTGGTGCGCTGTAGTGAATAATACTGACTGCAAAATGTGGTTATTATCCAAGTGTTTTTAAAACGTTTAAAGTCAAAGTAACATGGCTGTATGCGGGAATCACCCGACCGTGTATTTTCGTGACACAATCGGCTGATTATCCATGCAAAATGCGCCAGATTTCCTGAAGACGAACCGTTTGTACAAATCGTAATTCATGTGTTTCTCGTATTGTTGTTGCATTTTTTCACCGTTCCAGACAAATCCGTGCAGCTGCTGCACTCCGTCGCTGCAGCCGTGTGAGATTAAATCGTCATGTATTAGACACACTCTCCAACGAAGAAAGACTGAGAATAAACCAGTACCGACAGATGCAGACCAACGGGAAGGCAGAATGGGTCAGGGGATCGTAGAGAGATATAGGCGGGATGAGATACACATCGAGAGGTAGACTGACCGAAGACGGATAGACAGAGGTAAAGATACGGACAGACGGACGAACGGAGGGACAGGCAGGTGCTGTGAGACGGACGGTACGGAGCACTCACGGGACCACCGGCTGCACCCATGATCAGACTGCGATGGAGCGGCACGCGCTACCAGGAGGGTCGGGGGCGCTGAGGCGTGCAGCTGCTCCCTCCCGTCCCGTGGTTACTGCCGGATCAGACCCCGCCGGTGGCGCAGGGCCTGCTGTTCCACCTCTGGGACCGGTCCGCCGGTAGGTCGGCCGTCTCAGCAGGTCTGATCTGCAGTCCATGCATGGCACAGTTACACGCTCCATTGCACGGGGCGCCGTCCGTCAATGACGGTTGGTTGACGAGTTGACAGGTCCGGCTACCGCCGGCCCCCAGCTCTGGGAGCCGTCACAGAGCCCTGAGTCCGTCACAGAGCGTGAGGAGAGCTGTTTGTTGGTACAGGCCGCAGACGAAATCTGTGTCAACATGAGCCGTATTGAACATAAATAGAGGAACAGACGCTGATGAATGGCACGTCAGAGCAAGTGTCACGCGAAATCAGTGCTAACGATGAACGGAGACTTCCCACGCTCCGTTGTGTTTTTGCTCGTGCAATAGCACACCGCGCGCAGTGCGCAGCGCGCGGGATATTCTCTCCCCTGTATCGATTCATCTCGTTGTTTGTTTTGCCAGGGTAGTGTGTGAAAAACCGTGCGGGAGGCTGCTGCCGGAGTTACCCGTTCGCAGGCGATTGCTCAGCTCGAGTCGCTCAATCTCTGCCGGTGCTCGCACCATTGGCACACACCTGGTGGCTTCCGTACTTAAGACACATCTGGAGCGGCTGAGAGAGAGAACCCGGCCAGATGGCGGCTGCAGTGAACTCCTAACTAGAACCAGGTGATGATACGAGCCGGCCCTTCGATCCCCCGGCGACCACAGACGGTGTGAAAACCACCAATCATCGTCACACTGGCCGGCAGCGGCCGCCCTTGTACCCAGAAAGGATGTTTGCCGTCGACTGAGAGAGGATCCTGGTCGGCTGTTCAGCGGCCTCCTCATTCAGATTCAGTCGAGAGGCTTCTGGCTGTAAAGCCTTCTTGAGACGGTGGCTTTTCCTGTTAGTGCCTCATCCTGTCAGCTCAGCTTCTGTCTGAGCTTCGTGAAGTTCCATCCCTCGGCTCAGCCCCATATAGAGCGCTCGTCGGCTCTCTTCCTATCCCAACCCCTCATCCCATCCCTGCCCATTCTATCCCATCCTATCCTATCCCTCTACCGTCAGCCCGGGACCGCCGTGTTGCAGCTGGTGCGGTCTGCCGGTCGGCCGGTCAGTCGGTCTGCCAGCCGGCGGCCCTGCGCCCCCCGTATATGGCTCCCGAAGGTCCCGCCGTGCTGCCGGTACCCTCCGCCGTGCGAGCCGTGCACGAGGGCGGTCCGCCGCCGACCAAGGCCAGATCGGACCCACACAATTTGTGTCGAGTGTCACAGAAGGGGGTCGGCGGCGGCCCGACGGTGACATGGGCATCAGTCGCACCCTTCCGGAGCTAGTCAACGGCAACGACTGCCCAATTCGAGCTCTGTAAATTATGTAAGGTTCGACGGTGGGCGGCATGGCGGCCCATAACTGTGCCGTTTTTATCATGTGGACTGAATTGTCATTACAACAGCGTTTGACAGTACTTGGTCAGTACCAAATATGGTCGAGGGAACTGACGGAACCTTTGCAAAAATGCTGTATGTTATAAAAGGCAGCCGTCTTACAGATAAGGAAAACTGAGGAAATATAACTGGAAAGATGTCGTACGTGGTTAATGCCGAAGGGCCAATATCACATGTCATGAATGATTGTCAAGGACAGCGAGCGAAGCCGGTGCAGCAACACTCAACAGAGACCACGGGCCACGGCCGAAACTAAACAAACTCATACCGGCGGCAATCATGAAAAGCTCCTGACCTGGAATGACATCAGTCTGTCCCTAGCTTCACTTACCGAATTGCTCAGATATGAAAGTATGTTGTTTTAAATGTACTTCATCATTAAGATTCCTGTTAGGGATCGTCTTTCCACAGGTGGTCAAGAGCGCCGCGCAGTAGACGTTGCGTTATGCCGTGATCTTAGCCTCCGTGAGGCCAGAATCCGCTAAACACGAGTGGCTGACCAGAGTTGCACGGACGGAGGCCCTGTTTCATTCCGTGCTGTCTAGTGTTGGAGACCTCAGTAATCGTGCGCATCTGGCATCAACACGCCTATTGAACTCCCTGCTCAGTACTGCAGGGCGTGATTGGCCGCCATTGCAACAGCTCACGCGAATTTCGCCAGTTTCGGAAAGAACCCGGATAGGAAGTGCTCGGAGTTTTATGGACAGAATCGAAGTTGGAGTGAGGCTATTTATTTTCTTTTGTTTTGGTTGCTGGTTTTCACTTTCGAATTTTGTTGGATACAGCCCGTCCCGGAAACTCACAAGGACAGGTGCTGCTTTCGTGGTTCATCCACTTGCACTGTGCCATTCTGGTAGCTCGTTTCCGAACCTTCGTACTTTGCTAGCCGGCTTCACAGGAGCGCCAGGCTCGAAAAGATCGGCTCGGCATGTCGGCGGGACACCTCTGTGCCGCCCGCTGCCGTTATAAACACGCACAGCGGGGGCCGCTAATTCGCCTCTGCTGCAGTTCACCCGCCCAGCCGCCGCCGACAACTACCTGCCTGAAACTCGGCCCTCGCAGCCGGGAGAAGTCGCGGAAGGTGGTACCCGATGACGTCAGGCTCTGTATTTTTACCGGCGGTCCTGGCGTCAGTGGGCGTCGATTCAAGGCTGGCGGCATCACGGGATGTGTGACGATCATCACGGACTGTCACGAAACACAACAGGGTCGTCGTGTAACGATTTGTTACGCCCGGTAGTTGGTAGTGGTTTTGACAACAGCTGAAGCAATTTCTAGTCTTGTTCCGTTGTGTAACTGTCAATCGCCGCCCCGGAAAAGAAGCGTTACCGTGGATTGACGGTGACCTGAGAGACTTTGTTACTGTTGGAGCTGAATGGATGTCCAAGTGGTCAGAACAAGAGCCGTACGTCCATAGGGTTTCCGGCTTTGATGGCCATTGCATCGTTGGCATTTCTGCATGAACGCGGCTAGTCGAAACTCTGATCGGTATGCATGCAGATTGAAGAGCTCCGTTACAATCTCTTGTAAATCCAACTGTGCTTATATGATTCCCCGGTAGAGATGCGGCTTATTTCGCTCCTCGCCTTTATATCTCCTGCTGTCTGAACAGCCCATGCCGCCACATATCAGCTGCCGCCGGTGATCGCGGTCAGAGCTCAGCCCTGAGCCTAGCCTAGACTTAGCACTGGGTAGTGAGCACGCTGAGCAGGATGAGCCGGGTCTGAGCCACCTGAGCTCAGTAGGAATGAGTCGAGTCTGAGCCACTCGAGCTCAGCGCTCACGCCAGCTGGCGGTCGGCCGTTGAGCGAGTTTCGTTGCGGGCCGTAATTTTGGCAGTCTCTCAGAGTCGCTGATGAATCGCAACGCGCCACCGATCATACACCGAGCCGTCAAAATACGCAGTAAGATACTGCAACCAGATAATGCACCGCGACCACTTTGAGCAATGTCACAACTCACGACGGTCAGAGAGCTCGAGAGCTGACGCTTCATGGATGCCCAGCGCCCAGCTGGCAGGCACGGCTGTTTAACTACCAAGTACTGATCTTATGTAAGTCATACGTTGCGCTCATTTCGCCACGGCTGCTTTGGGAGCGGCGGCGTTAAATGCAAACGGTGACGTCACATGCGTAACTGACTACTGAGTCAGGTGTGACTGAGTCAGTCACTTTTCCCGCACATTCCACCGAGTCGGTTTGTCACCTGAGGAAGGAAACACTGACTGAGCTCCAGCGAGTCACTCGTGCGTAAAGTAACGATTCCAGGGAGCGATCAAATCAAGCGCCTTTGGTTACTAGTTACTACATGAGTGTGACGGGCGAAAGCGTTTGGTTACAACGCAAGCGTAACTCAGCGTCGTGTGATACGCTGATGTGTGAGTCATCACCCGGCGTGACCGGTATACGTCATCGCAAGAGTGAAACGATGGCTGAG